TCAACCTTTATTATTTTATTTTATTTTATTTTATTTTGAGATGGAGTCTCCCTCTGTCACCCAGACTGGAGTGCAGTGGTGCAATCTCAGGTCACTGCAACCTCTGTGTCCTGGGTTCAAGTGATCCTCCCACCTCAGCTTCCCAAGTAGCTGGGACTACAGGCACGCGCCATCACACCCAGTTAATTTCTGTAGTTTTAGTAGAGACGGGGTTTCACCACGTTGGTCGGGCTGGTTTCGAACTCCTAACCTCAAGTGATCTGCCTGACTTGGCCTCCCAAAGTGCTGGGATTACAGGCGTGAGTCACCATGCCCAGCCAGAGTAGACCTTTTGTCGGATGTCACAATAAGGGGCTCCCACCAAAAACCCAAACTGCTCAGAAAAAGGACCCTGTTGGGTGGGGTGGCAGAAAGAAGGCTTCCCAGGGGAGGTGGGCTGTGAGTAGGGTCTTGAAGGGGATCAAAACCTGTTTCAAGAGAGGCTCCAGGTTAGCAGGAGGGTGGTTCGTGGACAGTCTGGCTGTAGTATAGGGGTCAGGGATGGGGTGGGGGGACAGAGAATATAAGACAGAGCTAGAGCCAGGCACAGCAAGCCTCATTGCCATGTGCACCATTAATTTTCTGTTTCCATAGTTCCTTTCTCCCTTACAGCTCTTTCACTCTTACATCTAGAGCAGTGCTGTCCAGCAGAAATAAGTGAGTTAGCCACATATGTGATTTTGATTTTCCTAGTAGCCACAGTAAAAAAGGGGAAGGAAACAGGTGAAATTCATTCTAATAACATATTTTCTCTCATATTTCCAAAATACTATCATTTCAACATGTAATCAATAAAATAATTACGGATGAGCTATTTTATGTTCCTTTTTCGGGCTCAGTCTTTAACACTGCAGGGTATGTTTTATATTTCTAGTACATCTCAGTTTGGACGAGGGCACAGGCACCTGCGGCCGCTGTCTGGATCTACATCCTCAGGCCACAGCCGATTGCCCCTGGGAAGGGCAGATACAAAACACCCAGAAGAAGGCCATCACATATGGCTTTTAAGCTCCTGAAGAGGCTTAGGTAGATCCATGGCAGAATCAATAGTTTTGAAAGTCCTGACTTAAACCAGGAGCCGGAGACCAGTTCATGCCATAAACTAAAGCTCTGGGGAAAATGGGGACAGGCAGTAAGAACAGTCCCCTCCCAGCACCCCACATCTTCCATTAAAAAAAGCTGAAAGACCTGTGCGAGAGGAGGAATGAAGAAGGTACTCGATGTAGGGGTTGGTAAGAATTTGAGAAGGGGGCTCCCAGAGAGGTGACAGGACAGCCAAATAAATTGGTGGTGGGGGGGGGTGGCAGTGTCTCATCTCCCCCAGGGCATCTAGCACCCTGGGGTCTCTGGAGAGAGCCGATGGCTGAGTGAGGAGCCCAGGGAGGTAAGTGTGAGGGTGGCCCACAGGCCTGCATTCCAGCAGGTGCACAGAGAGGGTGCAGAAAGGGCTGAGAGAGCAGAGCCCATGGGATGAGGCCAGGAACGCTGTCATAAGCAAGGGTGGAACCCAAGGTGGCTTTGTGCACAGCAAAGAAACTGAGGCTGAGCCCCAGCCTGGGGTGGGACGGGGAGCAGGGGAGGGTGATGGCTGCACCTTGGCAGAAGCCAGCAAAGACAGGAGGTCGCGTGAGGCCGAGAAAGATATCCCTCTCTGTGCCAGGATTAGGTCTCCTGCAGGCAAGGTATGAAAATACAAGAGGCCGGGCGTGGTGGCTCATGCCTGTAATCCCACCACTTTGGGAGGATCACTTGAGCCCAGGAGCTGAGACCAGCCTGGACAACATGGCGAAACTGTGTCTCTACAAAAAAATAAAACAAAAACAAACAAACCAACAAATAAAAAAACACAAAAAATTAGCTGGGCATGGTAGTGCATGCCTCTAGTCCTAGCTACTTGGCAAGCTGAGGTGGTTGCGCCCAGGATGAGGAGGTTGCAGTGAACTGAGATCACATCACTGCACCCCAGCCTGGACAATACAATGAGACTGTCTCAAAACAAAAACAAAACCAAAAAAACAAAACTAAATAAAAACCACCAAGAGCCGGCATCTTTATTGGCTGAATCTGAGAACCCTGTCTTGCCAGGATCTGCCCGCCCGGGATGCTGTCATTGCTGGCCCTGACTTCAGATGGGTCCTCACCCTGAAGCACTTGCCCATCTTGGAGGGGCCACATCTGGGTCTCCTCCTGGGTCTCACTACAGGCCCCGCCAGACTCCAGACCCTGATACGGGGTCTCACCGCCAAATTTAGTCTAAGCCTCCTCCCTGCTGGGCATGACCACCTGGCCATGGATCTTCTTGTGCAATTTGTGATGGTACAATCCACGGTTGCTCCAGTCCTCACCTGGGAGTGGACAAGGCACTACTCCTCGGAGCCCTTGTCTCCTCATTGGTAAAGTGGAGAGAGGGACCCTCATCTCAATCACAGGTGTGGGTGCCTCAAAGCAAAGAATGCAGGTGACAGCCCCAGTGCCAGTGCCTAAAATTAGCAGCTCTAGGAAAGTGCTCACTGCACTGGCCAGGAGGTCATGGACACAAGAGGAGCACATCTCCAGGGACCCGGCTGCACACAGACAAACCGTCCCCACAGCCCTGGCTCTACAGGCAAGTTTTCAGATGCCTGACATTTTTCCATTATTCATTCATTTTTTGTTCTAAAACCCACCCACCTATAATCCTCATTTAAAACACAGTTAAGCTATTCGTACACACAGACTTAAACTGGAAAAGGCAACACTACAGAGACAGAAAATAAACCAGTGGTTGCCAGGGACTGAGGCTGGTGAATATGAAGAGCACAAGGGAATGAGTATTTTGAGTAACGGGATTGCTCTGTGTCTTGACTATGGTAGCAGCTGCATCACTGCATGCATGTGTCAAAACTCGTAGAACTATGTACTACAAAGGGTGAAATTTACTGTATGTATGTCCGTTATACCTTAATAAAAACATTTTTAAAATAATGAGTACAGCTGAACAACAACAACAAAACCCCACAATTATGGACACGTTTAATCAATGGTGTTCGACATCAGAAGAGTGGTTACCTCTAAGGATAGGGGATAGCCTTGGCCAAGAAGAGGCACAAGAGAACCATCTGGAATTTTGGAGACATCTGATTGCTAGATCTGGGTAGTGGGTACATGGGTGTACATATATGTGTAAAAAGTCATTGATCTGTACCCTTTTTATCAACACATATTCTCCTAGGTATGTTACATCACAACAGGAAAGTAAAAAGAACAATTATTTCTTTTTCTAAAAAAGGAATTTTTGCTGGGCCTGATGGCTCGCACCTATAATTCTAGCACTTTGGGAGGCCGAGGTGCATGGATCACTTGAGTCCAGGAGTTTGAGACCAACCCGAGCAACATGCCAAAACCCTGTCTGTACAAGAAATACAAAAAATTAACCAGGCGTGGTGGCACACACCTGTAGTCCCAGCTACATGGGAGGCTGAGGTGAGAGGATCGCTTGAGCCTGGGAGGCAGAGGTTGCAGTCAGCCTAGATGGCACCACTGCACTCCAGCCTGAGCAACAGAGTGAGACCCTGTCTTAAATAAATAAATAAATAATAAAAGTACACAAATTTTTTTCATTTAAAATTTGTTCCCTAGGGAATAGTTCTCCCTCCTCCATCTGGAAGGAAAGAATCCAATCTATCCAATAGGGCGCTTCCGTTTCTGATGATAGCATCTACTGGACATTAAACTGGCTCGCAGATTGGGGCGTTATTCCGAATATTTACCAGCTAGTGCAGAGCCGTGGGGTAATCAGAAAACCACGGCTCTCATGGTTCAGATTTAGATGCAAAGCAAACTCATCATCGGTCATGTGTGCAGTAGTTCCCAGCCTCTTTGGGTGTTTCTGTAACACTGTCCTGCCTGGTAGACTGACTGGGGCACAGAGGAGAATGAATAGCAACAGCTCTAGTTGGTGCCTCTCCTGACCGGGCGTGCCATGTTCTGTGAGTTCACAGCCTGCCTTGTCTATGCTCACTCTCTTTGCGTTTTCTTTGGGACTGTCTCTTCCTCTCCTGAGACCCTAAGCAGCTTTTTAAAAGCCCCTTAAAAACAAACAATGATGGCCGGGTGCGGTGGCTCACGCCTGTAATCCCAGCACCTTGGGAGGCCGAGGCGGGCGGATCACGAGGTCAGGAGATCGAGACCATCCCATCCCGCCTCACACAGTGAAACCCCGTCTCTACTAAAAATACAAAAAAAAAAAAAAAAAAAAACTAGCTGGGCATGATGGCGGGCGCCTGTAGTCCCAGCTACTCCGGAGGCTGAGGCAGGAGAATGGCGTGAACCCGGGAGGCAGAGCTTGCAGTGAGCCGAGATCACGCCCCTGCACTCCAGCCTGGGTGACAGAGCGAGACTCCGTCTCAAAAAACAAAAACAAAAACAACCCCCCCCCCAAAAAAAAACCCAACAAACAATGACATAGAAAAGGATATTCCAATTCCACTGGATATCCTTGAGGTCATTCTTGGGCTGAGAGTGACATCATAGAATAACTCACTCTGGTGTAGGCCACAGGCTCCTGTTTCTTCACTTGCTATTGCCAGGCTGGTGCCCTGGCAGGGGCAAGCGAGATGCCATGGGTCCCTTCATGGGGGTGTGGAGTGCACCTAAATCACCCATTCTGACAGTTCGCCTCAGACCCCGGCGGCTGACCTACTTCTGTTGACCCCTGAGTGTTTGAACACCAAGTGAATCATGCCCAGCCCAGCTGCTCTGAGCTGAAACCATTCTGTGTGTATGTGCCCATCATCTGCAGGCCCTTGAGGCTGCCTGAGCATGTGGGGTCAATAGCATGAAAGCATGTGGCACCCCGCCAAGCGGCAGCTTTGCTCTCTGATGGCCCTTCACAGGGACACGTGGCAGGAACTGCCATCTGGCAGGACTAGGGGAAGAAAGGTAAGGAAGAGAAGTCAGAGAAGTAAGAAAGAATGAATTACCTTGTTGATACCTTTGGTGACCAAATTGATTGCGAGCTCATGGCTGATGCCATCCACCCAGCAGACATCCTTTTCTCCAATGGGTTCAGAGAGGAAGGCTCTCAGCCTGGGAGACATGTGGTCCATCTCCTGCGACAGCAGTGGGGAGAGAGGAGGATTAGCAGATACCTGACTGCTCCCAGTGTGCATGGACACTGGGGAACTCCCTCAGCCCACCAGGGACTGGGGCAACAGATGGCAGAATTCTTTCCGTCATCCAGCATTTCCTGGGGTCTGCTAAATGCAGGTGCACCTTCACACATCCATTCCTACCTGGATGGACCAAGAGAGGCCTAATGATGGCCACAGATGAGTTGAATAAATTTCCCTGAAAATAGTGTGCTTAATATTAAGAACTGCGGTGGGTTTTTTCCAACTCACTCCATTCTAAATGCCTAAAGCAACAACTTGCTTCTCTTAGCTAATTAACCCACCTTCTCTCTTAACCACCCAACACTTTAGTCATACTTTTATTTCAGTGTTCATCACACTCTATAATAGTGTAAACTCGCTAGAAACTCTTCACACTGGCTCAAATCGTAAAGAACACATTCTAGAAATCCAAAGCCTGCAGGTGGCAACGGGTCGCAGCTTCATTCCTTGGGGATTCTCCAGCTTTCCCTCCTTGTGTTGGCTTTATTCTTGCTTGGCTCCCCTCACACTGGTGAAAGAGCTGCTCCGGCACTCATCGGCCTCACCAACTCCACCCCGAAAGAAGGAAGAGAAGATGGCTTTTGCTTAAGTCGCCTCATTTGTTGCCTGTGCTCCAACTTTAGCCAGATAAATCAGCTTTCCCAAACAGCAGGACTTGCTCATCAATTTCCTGCAACTGCAGATTGCAGGCCCCAGGCAAAAAGACTCTCTCTCTTAGCAGAACTATTTTCATCCCTCTCCACTTTTAAATGGACTACCATCTCCCAGAAGTTGAGTTTCCTAGGACCTTAATGAAGACTGCCAGAGGTAGCCAACATCCTGAATATTTCCTGGAAGATCTCAAAATATCATGGGCTCCATAAGCATTAGGTCTGCATGCCGGCAAAACTGGCCATTTTGTTAAATGAGGGTTACCATCTTCCTAGTTTTTTGTTTTGTTTTGTTTTTGTGATGAAGTTTCACTCTTGTTGCCCAGGCTGGAATGCAATGGCATGATCTTGGCTCACCGCAACCACTGCCTCCTGGGTTCAAGCGATTCTCTTGCCTCAGCCTCCCAAGTAGCCGGGATTACCGGTGTGCGCCACCGCGCCTGGGTAATTTTTGTATTTTTAGTAGAGACAAGGTTTCACCATGTTGACCGGGCTGGTCTTGAACTCCTGATCTCAGGTGATCCGCCCACCTCGGTCTCCCAAAGTGCATTACAGGCATGAGCTACCGCGCCCGGCCGCCATCTTCCTAGTTGGATAGAGACATCTTTGCTGCTCTCCGCCTGAATGTCTCTTAACCAATCCACGTTTAAGGTTTGTTCATTGTAGCATCCCCTTCCTGGTACAAAATTCTGTGCCAGTTTGGACAGTTTATGATGAAAGTATCAGAAAACTCAGTGTAAATCAGTTTACATAATAAGGAGGTGTTATTAGCACATACTACCAAAAAGTCCAGAGGTAGATCAGATGTGGCTTGAGCAAGGCTCCAACTTGATTTCCCGGCAGCTCTCTCGACTCAGTCTTTCTTTGTGAATGGGCTCAGTCCTCAGCTTAACTCCTTCGTGGAAGTAACTGGGCTGCAGCATTGCTTTTGCAAGCCACAGGCTTCTCCCCCCAAAAAACACAAAGATGTCTTTTCCTAGAGGCCCCCAACAAATGCCCTCTCTGGTTCAAACCGTAATATGCCAACCCCTAAAACAAAAATTATGGTCTGTGTGTTCTACCTCTGGGCTCAGCAAGGCAGTCGGTGCCCCTCAAAGCCCATGGGTTGCAGAGGTGGGGCTGGGGGAACCAAAATCAAGGTAGTTCTCCTGTTCCTGGGGATAGTTACCCCACACCATCTGGGACTATGTTACAGGAATGACCCAATGTCCTCCACACATTCCCCAGTAGATCATGAGGCCCCCAAGGGCTGCAGCTGCCTCCTAATGGCCTTTGCTCCCCACTCCAACACCAGCCCCTCTGCCGAGCACATGGCAAGTATTCGATGACATAAATGATCAGGTGCATCCAACGCCTCCCTTTCACAGCCCCGTCCCCTCTCCTGTCCCCACCCTCCCCATTCTCCTCCAGACCTTTCTATAAAGTCTAGCTCCTCGTGTATGCCTTCTTGCCCCGAAGTACGTTTTGTAACACTTCAGAAGACACTGAACTCTCCCAGAAGAGATGAATCCAAAGGCACTGATTTTGGTAGTCAGGGGGCTCCTAAGAAAAGTGGCCTTGATGTGTCAGCAGATTCTAGGAAGGGGAGCAAAAGACAATGAGAGGTTGTTCAGGGTCCCCTGACTCTGTGGGTCTTAAATCCACAGATGTGTGAGCCGAGGGCATCGACCTCTCTTCAGCAGCTAAATAGGAATCTGTCTCTTCATCTGTGAAAATATGTTTCGTAAGTACAAGATGGTGTTTAACACAGGTGTTAACAGGAGAACGCCTCAGCACCCATGGCTTTATGGGATGATGAATTGGGATTGAGAATTGGGGTTGATGAATTGGGTGAGAATCCAGAATTTCTGAGCAAGTAAAAGCCTGAAAGTCTCATGAGCCGCTCTGCCTTTGCTGAGGGAAAATTCCATTCACTATCCATGCTGGCCATCTGTTAAGTTAAACATCTCTGCCTATGAAATCTAAGAATAAATGGAAACTACAACATTGCTATCAATGCATCAGCAGCATCAAAGACGGGTAATGGTTAGTAACACCTTGTGTGTGTTTGCTTTTCTCACACACCTGATCTCACTTTGATCCTTGCAACACCTCTGGGGCGGGGACATAGGCAGTGATTTTTGCCCTCCTGGGGCTCTCCAGCAACGTCGGAGGTCAGAATAAAAAGGTCTTCACATTCTTTACCACTCCTTTGGCTGCAACAGTCGTGCTCAACTGGGGGCCATTGGCCCCCATCCCCAGGGAACATTGGTAATGTCCAGAGACATTCAAGTTGTCACGCCTGGGAGAGGGGGAAGGACTATTGGCTCTAGGGGGCAGAGGCCAGGGCATGGCATCCTGCCATGCACACAACCAACACACAACAAAGAATTATCTGGCCCTAGGTACACAACCACCCCACAACAAAGAATTATCTGGCCCTAGGTACACAACCACCCCACAACAAAGAATTATCTGGCTCTAAGTGTCAATAGCCTAGAGGTTAAGAAACCCTGGGCTGCAAGTAATGAAAAATCCTGCCTCATGTGGTCTGAAACAATAAATGCATTTCTAATCTCATATGACAAGAAATCCTTTGATGAGGTGGACCCAGGATCTTATCAGTCAATAACTCTGTGTGAACAAGGGCCAGGATAGCTGCTCCCAAGGTCCCAAGATGCCTCCAGAATTTGCTTGGGTCCCATTCCAATGTGCAAACTTCCAAAGAGGCTGGGCGTGGTGGCTCACGCCTGTAATCTCAGCACTTTGGGAGGCTGAGGCAAGCAGATCACTTGAGGTCAGGAATTGGAGACCAGCCTGGCCAACATGGTGAAACCCCATCTCTACTAAAAACACAAAAATTAGCCAGACATAGTGGCATGCGCCTGCAATCCCAACTACTCGGGAGGCTGAGGCAGGAGAATCACTTGAACCTGGGAGGTGGAGGTTGCAGTGAGCCAAGATCACGCCACTGCACTCCAGCCTGGAAAACAGAGTGAGACTCCGTCTCAAAAAAAAAAAAAAACTTCCAAAGGAAGGAGAGGCAACCTCTCCCAGAAACTCTCCAGTGGAACTTCCTTTAGTTTCATTGGCCAGAACCAGGCAACATGCCCACCTGTAAAGCAGCCACTGGTCAGGGGAGTGGGACCGCTATGGGGGTGGATGAGGTGAGCCCCCTCTGAAACATGAGGCTACTCAGAGAATGTCAGTTTCTGTAAGAAGGAAGGAAGGAAGGAAGGAAGGAAGGAGGGAGGGAGGGAGGGAGGGAGGGAGGGAGAGAGGGAGGAAGGAAGGAAGGAAGGAAGGAAGGAAGGAAGGAAGGAAGGAAGGAAGGAAATGAATGCTGGGTAGGCAAACAACAATGTCTGCTACATCTTCTGATCTCCTAAACCCTGGTCTAATATTTGGTTCATTACAACTCTAGCACTTCTCAAAGTGGAGTGAGTGCACGAACCACCTGGGGGTTTTTTGTTTAAAAATGCAGGTGCTGACTCAGCAGGTCTGGGACAGGCCTCAGATACTGTGTGTGTGACCAGCTCCGAGGAGAGGTGACGCTGCTGCCCGCAGACCTCACTTTCACCGGCAAGACATTCATGATGCCACTTACTCTTTGTATGTTATTGCGTGAATTGTGGTAAAATATATCTAACATAAAATGTCCCATTTCAATTATTTTTAAGTGCACGGTTCAGTAATGTGAAGTGCATTCACATTGTTGTGCAACCGATCTCCAGAACTCTTTTCAACTTGCAAAATTGAAACTCCATACCCATTGAACAGCAAGTCTCCATCTCTCCCTGCAACCCCTGGCAACCACTATTCTACTTTCTGTTTCTGTTAAAATGACTACTCTAGATACCTCATATAAGTGGAACTTACATATAAGTGGAACTGTGTAGAACTTGCCCTGCAGGTAATTTGAAAAGAAAAAAAAAATTTAAGTGGAATTATATAATATCTGTCCTTTTGTGTCTGGCTTATTTCACTTAGCATAATGTTCTCAAGATTCATCCATGCTGCAGCATGTCTCGGAATGTCTTGCCTTTTTAAGGCTGAACTATATTCCATTGTATGTGCACAACACATTTTGTTTATTCTTCATCTATTGCTAGATGTTTGCGTTGCTCCCACCTTATGGCTATTGTGAATAATACTGCTACGAACATGGGTACACAAATATCTCTTTGAGAACCTGTATTCAATTCTTTTGGGTATATACCCAGAAGTGAAATTGCTGGATCATATGGTAGTTCTATTTTTAATTTTTCGAGGAATTGCCATACTGTTTTCCAAGCGACTGTACCAGTGGCACTTATTCTTAAACTTGACAGCACATTAGGCCTCACATGGGGAGAGTTACAAATTACTGATGCTTGGATCCCACCTCCAGAGTTTGATTTCATTAGCATAGGGTATGCCCTGGACATCAGAAGTTTAAAAAACTCCCCAAGTGACTCAAGTATGTTGCAAAATTGGAGGACCATGTCTTGTCCTTTGCTTCTATCTGATAAAATTCCAAGCAGATTTGCTGGGATGATGGGGTTCCAGCTAAATGGGCCTTAGTGGTGGGATCTGCAGCGTCTGTGCTGCCATATGGTGCACGCTCGCAGCTCCCAGGCTGCATCTACCCCCAAATCACCAGGCGCATCATGTCCTCATTAGCCATCAATAGGAAGACAACTATGACCCCAATGGCTTTGAAGTCAGAGAACTTCAGAGAAGACAGACCTCAATAACAAGCTGCTCCTCTTTTTTTTTTTTTTTAATTAAAAAAAAAAGATCTTTACTTCAAAGGAAATTTTACCTGGAATTCCTTGATATAAAATAGATCAAAGCAGAATTACTCTCTGTTGACTTGGGAATGAGAAGAGGGCACTAGAGCCCCCCAATACATGATGCCCTCCCCATGCCCCCTTTGTGCTCCCCAAAATCCTTCTCTAATCTAGCCTAAACCCCTCATTTCTCCCATAAGAAACCAAGGCCCAAGAAAGTAAATGACCTGTTCAAGACAATGCACCCGGGCCGGGTGTGGTGGCTCACGCCTATAATCCCAGCACTTTGGGAGGCTGAGGTGGATCACCTGAGGTCAGGGGTTCGAGATCAGCCTGGCCAACATGGTGAAATCTCGTCTCTACTAAAACTACAAAAGAAAATTAGCTGGGTGTGGTGGCAGACACCCGTAATTCCAGCTACTTGAGAGGCTGAGATGGGAGACTCACTGGAACCCGGGAGGCGGAGGTTGCAGTGAGCCGAGATCAAGCCATTGCACTCCAGCCTGGGTGACAAGAGTGAAACTCCATCTCAAAAACAAAACAAAACAAAACAACAACCATGCACCTGGCAAAGCACACTAGCTCTCCGTCTTCCAGGGGAGCGCCCCTCTTCTAAGGCATCCCTCTTGTAACCCTGGGTGAGCTGCAGGGTTGGGTGCATTATGGACAGCTTAAGCACTTGGCCATCATACAACAGAACTAAGCAGATGCCTCAACATAATCCTGCCCTGTAAAAGTTCTTGTATTACAGGGTGTTCTGTCAATGACCCTACTGCATTTTGAACCACAAAGTCCTGTTTGGGGAGAACACAATGGCAGGGAATGACCACAATCAATTCTGGTTTTAGATGCTTAGAGAGTCACCTTTTTAAAAAAGGAGTAAAGGAATCAGTAGAATTTAATCTCAATTCCCAAAGGAATGATCTCCCAGTTGCAAATGTTTGACATCCTTTAAGGTTATTTTTAAAAGCTGTGTGACAGGTCTTCATAAGGAGGTGATCACAAATATTCCCCCTCTATCAGATAAATGGGGTGAGGATGGGGGAACTGCTCTAATGCCATACAAATGGCTATTTGGGGCTTGAGATACAATTTCCAGTGGGGACATTATACATGGATTCAAAAAGGGACATCTCTTCCACCATTGGCTGGAAGTGAAGTTGTTATTCTCTAAAAATTCTACAGTGCGTGGTAGCTCATGCCTGTAATCCCAGTACTTTGGGAGGCCGAGGCGGGTGGATCACCTGAGGTCAGGAGCCCTGTCTCCACTAAAAATACAAAAATTAGCCAGGCGTGATGGCGGCTGCCTGTAATCCCAGCTACCTGGGAGGCTGAGGTAGGAGAATTGCTTGAACCCGGGAGGCAGAGGTTGCAGTGAGCTGAGATCTCGCCATTGCACTTCAGCCTGGGCAACAGAGCGAGACTCCATCGCAAAAAACAAAAAAATTCTACAACACAAAAAGTGACTCCCATTAGAATACCATTGTTTTTGCAAAAGGTCAATGGGAAAAGTGCAATATTTTCATATATTATTTTGCCATTAACAGATTGCTGCATGAACATTTCTAAATATTATTTTATGTAATATGTGATTTCAAATGTGTGTAATTAAATTATGAAATCAAACGGTAGATGTAAGACTTTTTTTTTCTGTATCCCTAAAATTTATATATTCAAGTGGCCAAAAAGCATTTTTGGAGATTTTCTTGCTGAGAAACTGTGAGATTATCTTATTTTCCATGTTTGCTTTATATTTAGACACATATGGTATTGCCTACCCCAGGAAAGTGGGATGTTAATACTTAAAATTAGTGTTTTTCCCTCACCTATTATAGAGGGTAGTCACAAGGTATATTACAGGGGTTGGGCAGGGGAATCTGCACCTGTGGGAACATGGTTGAGACTGTTGCTACTCACATTTTGTTTTATAAATTATCCCACATGACATATTTCTTTTGGAACTTAATACCAAGAAAAAAGCATGCCTTTCAAAATTGGTATATTTCTACCTTTATGATAAAAAGTAATTTGTAAAGATCTTATTTCCCTTTTTACTTGGCCTACTAGGAAGCTCTGAGCTAACCCTAATGACAGCATAGGGAAACTAGCCTAGATGAACAGCTCTTTCACTTTGTAGTTAAATTTGCTTCTTTTGCTCAGTGCCTTCATTTTCTGTTTCTGCTTTTATTTTAAAATGTAGATTCATATATTCAAAGCACTGACATCCATTATTAAAAGCTACTTTATTACATAGTTAACACCTCAAAGATATGGAGAATATAAGTATCTCCCAAACCGAGCAGATTTATAAGAAAACAGAGCATCTACCCCATGCCCTGGGAACACTCCAGTCTTGTAGCACCAAGCGGCAGGGAGAGCATGAGGGTAAGAATGACCCCAGGGTTGTTCCTTGGAGGCCTGCTGTGCCTTCAGTCTGCAGTGAGAGGACAAAGGGACCTCTGCACTGATGGAGTAGAGCCCAAGGGAGCCCAGATGCTCACCCCTCAGAATCTGAAGGAATACTGTCTGTCAATGCTGCTTCCTGGCTCCCTGTACCTCTACCCACACTCCCCAGAATTGCAGTTTCTCCCTTCAAATGACCAATGTTCTCCCTTCAAATGACCTGAGAAAGAATGAAAATGAGGGTGGCAGGCCTGGTGCCGTCACTCACTCCTGTAATCCCAACAATTTGGGAGGCCAAGGCAGGAGGATCATCACTTGAGCCCAGGAGTTCAAGACCAGCCTGGGCAACCGAGCAAGACCCTGTCTCTCTTTTTCTTTTTTCTTTCTTTCTTTCTTTTTTTTCTTTTCTTTTTCTTTTTTTTTTTTTTTTTTTTGAGACGGGGTCTTGCTCTGTTGCTCTGGCTGAAGTGCAGTGGTGCAATCTTGGCTCACCGCAACATCTGCCTCCTGGGCTCAAGAGATTCTCCTGCCTCAGCCTCCCGAGTAGCTGGGACCACAGATGCACGCCACCCCACCTGGCTAATTTTTGGTAGAGACAGGGTTTCACCATGTTGGCCAGGCTGGTCTTGACCTCCTGAGCTCCAGTGATCCACTCTCCTCGGCCTCCCAAAGTGCCGGGATTACAGGTGTGAGCCACTGCACCTGACCTGTCTCTTTCTTTAAAAAAAAAAAAAAAAAAAATAGAAAGATGGGTGAACCTGGGCAACATGCCACAACCTTGTCTTTACGAAAATTACAAAAATTAGCCAGGCGTGGTGGCACACACCTGTGGTCCCAGCTACTTGGGCAGCTAAGGTGGGAGAATTGCCTGGGCCTGGGGAGGTAGAGGCTGCAGTGAGCCGTGGTCTCACCACTGCACTCCAGCCTGGGCATAAGAGGGAGACCCTGTCTCAAAAAAAAAAAAAGAAGAAGAAGAAGAAGAAGAAAAAAAAGAAAAAGAAAAGAACAGGGGTAACCTTCCTATAACACTGAGGGTCGGACTCTGAAGGGCCCTCTCCCACCTAGGCTGTTAAGGGTCTGAGGAGACCCTGTCAGGCTGCACTCATGCATTGGAGGGAGAAATGCCCCCCATTTTGGATGGAAGCTCATGGCCTCAAGAGCTTCCACAGGGCTCCATTTTGTACAATCCACTCAGGAACTACTTTTCAGGGTGTACCACGCTCACCACAGTATCCTGGGGTGGGCAAGTGACCACCCCTCACTTTCTTGGGCCATGAATCACTTCCTGTGAGGGCTGCTTGGCCTGAGCCTGCTGTGGCCATGGTTGCCACACCTGTGGAGAGCTCACCTGAGAAAGAAGCCCGTGTGGAGGAAAGCAGCTCTGAGAGAAGGGAAGAGACAGATTCCCCAATAATCATTTGCAGGCCTGGATTTAGACATGCCTGAAGGCGCCTACCCTTGGACTTTTCAATTATGTCAGGCAAAATACACAAAATAGGCATTTTTGCTTACTTCAGTTTAAGTTAGGATTGTGCCTTTTATAACAGAGTTCTAACTAATGACCCCTAATACTCATCACTCACTCACTCATCCAACAAGTGTTCTGGGCGCACCCTTTGTGGACCGAGCACTGTGCTGGGCACAAAGGCTTCCCCATTCCACCCAGAGGGATGGGGCGGGGTCAGGCCCATGGCTTAGGCATCAGGAATGAAACAAACCACTTTCCAAAGACCGTTAATGCTCGTTGTTCAAAAATAAAGCAATATTTGCCTTCCTCGCCGTTAGCTCCGATTCCGCAGTGGGAAACAAGATCTTTTCTTTCTCTTCTCCTTGTTGGCTGTCTTACATATGGCCCTTTGATGATACATCCTTATCTTGATGGGTCTACAGGTGATGAATAACCAAATACATTCCACAGTTCCTCAGACGTCCACTGAGTGCCATCTGTATGCAAGGCCTTGAGCTAAGTGTATGAACCCTCGGGACAATGTCTTCTGCAGATACCACTCCCAGAGAAAACAGAACCAGCCCACGGTGGGGCACACCACACATGGTGTACTAGCCATAAGGAGGCATTCCCAAAGGCAGGGCTCCCTTTTTCAGGGAACTAGGATGGAGGGGGCGGCTCAGCTTCACGGACTCTGGGTCTGGAGGTTCCTGTTAACTCCTGCTGGAGGAGCTAGGCTGAGGGTAGGAAATCCTTGTCTGACCTTAGCTCCACCAATGTCCAGCAGAGCGACCTTGGGCCAGTCACCTCCATTTCTTATTTATAAGATCAGCGTTGAATTCACTGACCTCATCCTTCTGGTTCCTTCCTACATTTTGTCTCTGTTCTTTTACAGTCTCTAGATGATATAAAATTCATACAGGTCCACAATCCCTAAGCTACCATTTTCATATCCCAAATGCTCTGAAATCCAGAAATTCTTTTTGGGGGCACAGGGCGGGGGGAGACTTACTTGGCAGCGAACGCTGGCCTGAACTGACATGAGGCTATTTATAGTCTTTATTATCCCAGTTAGTGTGAATATTTATACACTCCACCACAGGAATATTAATGGGTTTACAGGGTGCTGAGCCAGGCTCCACTAGGAATGTTCTGTAATATACAAAAGAGGCATCACATTGCACATTTAAAAAAAAAAAAATTTTGAGTTCCCTAGAACTTCTGGCCCCAGCAATTCTAAGTAAGGTTTTATGGATGTGTGCTAAGATCACCGTGCCTGCAGCCAAGGTAAACTGCAAGGATCCATGAAGAAGCCAGCTTGTCTCCCAGCTTGTCCAACCTCCACCTTTGTTGTCCCAGGACTCTGTCTCCCAACCTTTGTGAATAGCATTGTCCCTTGTCTATAAAATTCCATCTAGGCTGGACATGCTTGTCTGATAGTGGTTCTAGCTAGGACTATTTCTGGTTGCATTTTTCCTTCATGAAAATATTCCCTTCCCTTTGGGGCCCTGTTATCTGCAAAGGATCAGGAGCTGATGAAATAGAGTAAGTCATATAAAGAATGGACAAGCCTATTAGTTCACCTTCCATGGATGAAATATCTACATTTGTAACAGATGTATTTTTTTTCACCTTTTATTCTTCTTTTTCTTTCTTTTTGCTTTCTTTCTTTCTTTTTTTGTTTTGACAGAGTCTCACTCTGTCGCCCAGGCTGCTGGAGTGCAGTGGTGCAATCTTGGCTCACTAAAATCTCTGCCTCTTGTACGTAAGCCTCCCGAGTAGCTGGGATTATAGGCACCTGTCACCATGCCCGGCTAATTTTTGTATTTTTGGTAGAGATGGGTTTTCACCATGTTGTCCAGGCGGGTCTTGAACTCCTGACTACAGGTGATCTGCCTGCCTCAGCCTCCCAAAGTGTTGGGATTACAGGCATGAGCCACTGCACTCAGACCACTTTTTTGTTCTTAATTGTGGTAAAATACACAACTTAAATTCTTACCATCTTAACATTTATTTATTTATTTGATATTATTTATTATTTATTATTTATTTTTTTATTTTTGAGATGGAGTCCCACTCTGTCACCCAGGCTGGAGTGCAGTGGCCTGATTATAGCTCACTGCAGTCTTGAACTCCTGGGTTCAAGCAATCCTCTCGTTTCGGCCTCATGAGTAGCTGGGACTATAGGCACGAGCCACCACACCTGGGTAATTTTTTAATATTTCTGTAAAGATGAGGTCTTGCTACGTTGCCCAGGCCGGTCTCAAACTCCTGGCCTCAAGTGATCCTCCTGCCTCTGCCTTGCAAAGTGCTGGGATTACAGGCATGAGCCACTGCGCCCGGACTATCTTAGTCACCTTTAAGTGCACAGTGCAGTAGTGTTCAATGTATTCATGTTGTGCTAATCTTCAGAACATTCTCATACCTAATACACAACAGCTCACCATTTCCCCCTCCTCCTAGCCCGACAAACACCATTCTACTTTCTGTCTTTATGAAGCTGACTACTCTAGATGCCTCATGGAAGTGGAATCACACAGGAGTTGTCTTTTGGTGATTGGCCTATTTTACTCAGCTTGATGTCCTCAAGGTGCATCCATGCAACAGGATCTCTCTCTGTCTCTCTGTCTCTCTGTCTCTCTCTCTGTCTCTCTCAGTCTTTCTTTTTAAGATGGAGTCTTGCTCCATCACCAGGCTGGAGTGCAATCATAGCTCACTGCAGCCTTGAACTCCGGGGTTATGTGATCCTCCATCCTCCCGCCTCAGCCACCCGAGTAGCTGGGACTACAGATGTGCACCACCATGCTCAGCTAATTTTTTAATTTTTTTGTAGAGATTGGGGGTCTCCCTAAGTTGCCCAGGCTAGTCTTGATCACCTGGCCTCAAGCAATCCTCCCTCCTTGATCTCCCAAAATACTAGGATTACAGGCATGAGCCACCGTGCCCAGCCAGGATTTTTCCTCTTTCTAAGACTAAACAACATTCCACCGTATACAGCACATTTTGCTCCTCCATTCATCCATCATGGGAACCTGGGTTACTTCCACCTTCTGGCCATTGTGACTAATGGTGCTATAAACACAGGGGCACTCTAACATGTTTCTAAACCTCTCAATGTACACCCCCTTATGACTAGAGCATTTTGATCCCATCTTTCTCTGCCATTATAACCCCACAGAGAAGGAGAAAGCAATGTTGGCTTGAGGGAGAAGGAGTTTCCCCAGAAGAGAGGAAGGGAGAATCTACCTTCTCCGCCCCATGGATTCTAGAAAGAGGAAGAAGGCTCACCTCAGTATCCACACTACCCTCCCAGGGAAGGTGGAAGAGTAAAGAAAGATGAATGTTCATGGGCATGGGGCTTGAACTTCCCTACCTGAACAAACATCCAGAAGTGGGCAGACTCTTTAGATTCCAGTGGGTAGAGTCGGGAAGGTTGTTGGGCTGTGGGAATGGTGCATGGGACTTGGTGGCTTGCCTTCCGGGACTTGGCAGGAGATGACAACAACGGTCACTTCTGAAGTGTCTTGGGCAGCAGTGTAGCAGCAGTAAACAGTGGCTGGGAAGATAAGCTTGAGCCAGTGCCCTTGGCTTTTTGCAGCAAAAAGTTCAGGGCATGATAGGGCAGAAGATGCTTTAAGCCCTGATGGATGAACAGAAGCCTGGAGTCAGGATGAAGAAGTCCCATGCATGGGGACCATACCACCATGGGCAAATGACCAGGCCATAGGCTGCAGCAGTGGAAACTAAGATAGCCCTAAAAGACAAAAAGGGGCTGGTCACCCCTCCACAGCAGGGAGCAGATTCCAGCAGTCACACTGCCACAGGCTCAGGCCATCATCCTGCAGATCTCACGAGTATTCAAAGTCCCCTCTCCCCACTGCCTTGAAGACACAGTCAGCATCTGTCTCCACACACAGCCATCACTCTTTAGGAAGGACAGAGGAGGGGCAGAGCAGTCCCTAAGGAGACTGCACCTCCCAATAGGGACTCTTTAACGCAGCCTGGAGAGAATCTGACTATTACATTGCAAGGAGACAGAGCCTAGTAGGTGCCATCGGTGCCATGCCCAGGTCTACTGGACCAGTTGGTGCACCCAGCTGCTACCAGTGTTGCGGGGATCCTCAATGTGTGGTCGTGGCTTTCTCTGGACTGTCACCTCTGCTGTGGAAGCTGCTACACCTGGAGACACCTGGGAGGTTGCAAGGCCCAGCCCCCTGCCTGAGGGCAGCTAATGGCCTGTGGATGCAGAAGCACAAAACCCTAACTCCCTTGTCTCACGGTGGAGCCAACTGTCTGGTACCATTCCGGCTCCAGAGCCCCCCAGGGGGTCAGGCAGAAGCTGAGTGCCCCGGTCCACACCTCTCAGCTCCTCCCCTGCCCTCTCCTGCTTCCTTCACCAGATCAGGGGCACTGGAACCCAGGTCTCAGGCTCTGCTTCCAGGGAACCCCACCCAACACATAACACAATTTGCAGCTACTCTGTTCTTACCACATTGTGTGGAGGTGCCTAAGAATAAAGAATCGTATTTTCTTTCTACGGGTAAGTGTGGTGAGAGTGAATCTGTAACTGACTCCACTGTGTAGTTAAACAATGTCTTCAGGCAAAAGTGACTCTCATGAGGGCTTTACAGGCCCTGGAGGGGATCCCGAGGAAGGCCATCTGGGGGCAGGCAGTGGCTCCACACTGGCCTTTGCCTGCAGGACGGTTGCTGTGCTGATCTCTAACCCAGACCTCCCAGGAGGTTTGTTCTCCGTTCCCACCAGAGTAGTGTTGCCAGATTTAGGTCATAAAAATGTCAGATACCCAGTGAAATTTGAATTTCAGATAAACACTACATAACTTTTTAGTATAAGTATGGCCCAAGTATTTCCCAGACTGTACTTATACAGAAGGGGTTTTTTCTTGTTTATCTGAAATGTAAATTTCACTGGGCATCCTGATTTCATCTGGCAGCGCCCCTGCCCCCGCCACAACATTCCCACACAGTCTGACTCAGCAGAAGCCCCCAGATCTGCCCACACACCCAGCCCTGGGCTGCCAGGGAAGCTGCAAGGGTCCGAAGTTCTTTCTGCTGGGATTCTACTCCTGGCTCAGCCGCCGTTAGGCCGGCCGGTTATTCTACCCACTCTGGATCTGATGAAAGCCACAGACTGTTGAGACTCAAAGCTAAGGTGGAAACAGGATGATAATACCCAGCTTGGGAGATCACTGCAACAGCCTGTCACTCAGAAGTCACCTGGGAGGCAAGCACTAGTCTCGATGTCAGCTTGTCCCTGCTCACATGGAAAGAAGTCTGGTGCCGGCCTGGGCTCACCCCGGGACTAGAAACAGAATAAGGATCACAGGCAAGCAGGAGAAATGGAACCAAACTGAGCTGGCGAGTAAGGGGGCTCACGGTAACCGAGCACCTACTACATGCCTGCGTCTGTATGGCCATTGTCACACAGAGTCCTCAAAAACAGTTCTGCAATGTTAGAGAATTGGTCCTATTTTAAGAGATGTGAAAATGGAGGCCCAAAGAGGCAAAGGGGGCCACCTATCTAGTAAAAGGCGGTGATAAGCTACAGGCTGAGGTCTGGGTGGTTCCAAAGCCCAGGTCTTCCCTCTCCAGGACAGGAGTCAGAACAACAAGGACAGTTTTAGCAGATGCTGTCCCTGCCCTGCCCATGCCCCCCAGGGCTCACGGTTTCCATGGGGGGCTCTTTGCCCTGCAAGTGGGCAGGGCTGGGGACAAGACACCCTGGGAGCAGCCCTCGGCCAGGATGTGAGTAGGTGGGTAAGTATCCAGCCCCACACCCCTCAGGTGGCACAGCTCTGTGGCCTGTCCCACATTAGGTGATATCCAGACATCCCCAGCGGGAGGGAGCCCCCAGTGCTCATGGCAGTAACTGCTCAAGACCACCTTCCCTTTCCGGTCTCACATCCTCACTCCCTTCCTCATGGGACCAGGAACCCTTTCCATATCAACTACTTGCACTGCAGTTAGATTATCAGGTCAGCAACCGGGAAATCCACCTAAGAAAGCAGCTCATGCTTATCCAGGCTTACCAAGGCACCGTGCTAAGCTCCGCACCAAGATCATCTCATTTCATCCACCCACCTGCCCTTGGGATGAGATAGGTTCTATGATTATCCCATTTCACAGATAAGATAAATTAACTGACCTATGGCATTGCCAGGCCTCAAACCGAGTGGGTATCAGCCTATTATCTGTGTTCTCAACCACTGAGGTATTAATCAAGGCTTCCATTGAGCTTCTGGACAATCATTTTCTCTCCTTCTAGCTTTGGACTGACTTCCTCTGCTTGGGTGCAAATATAAACAGGGGACGCAGCAGTCGGCTGCCCCAAAACAAGGGGACATCTTGTGTACAGGTGGAGCTGTGTGGTGGTGCAGTGTTTTAAGCATTGCCTTCATTCCACTCATAGGATACTGAAGGCCCACGTGCCATGTATTCACCTCCCGTTCTTTGCTGGACAGAATGCCTCGCCCAAGATTTAATTTTCCTTCATTCCTCTGCTCTCACATTTTGTGCATCCTGCCCTTGCCTGCTGGGCCTCAGCACGGTGGTTCTGGAGCCTCCTAAGGACCAAGGCAGCTGAGTTCCTCCAGCCCTCCAGGTCCACATGTCTCCGGATACGCAGGTGTGAGTATGCGCATCTCTGAGTCTCAGTTCAGAAATCGACTCTAAGTGACTTGCCTGATCTTCCCAAATGCAAAGACCTACTTAAGACCCTTTCAAAAGAAAGCTAGGCTTGTTGGCTCTGGCTTCAGAAAAGGGGCCAGAGCAAGAGTTCTATCTGTCTGATTTGTCTCCATTCAAAGCCAAATTCTCAAGGTTATAAAGAAAGGATTTCCCAGATTGTCATTGCTTTCATTGATTGCATTATCACCTGAGCAGTATCTTGCAGAGACTACAGATAGGAGTTTCAGTAATTTCTAAATAGCTTTTGGTGTTATATAACATCAGAAGATAAGCTTGCCATTTGTAAACATGCCCTTGGACAAACAGCATATACATATTCCTTAGGAGGAAAAGAATCTGTGTTTCTGGGCCTGGGAAAGGTGGTGTTCTGCCTCTACTAAGGGTCGGTTTCAACACTGGATTGTGGGGAAAGAGTTTAAGCTGGAAAAAAGATCTCAGTTTCAATGATCTTCTTAAAATCAGCCACCCTTTGAGCATCTATTAGAAGTTCAAATCATGGGTTGCAAATGAAAAAGCCAGAGGGACCAGGCAAATTAAAAAAATAAAGCAGTGAAGAAAACAGTGCAAGGGTGCTGGCAAATGAGGACCAACATTGGACATCCACTGGGGAGGTCACAAAAGTGCTATGGACTGTGTAGCTGACTGTGGTCCCACACACCCCATCTAAAGGAGGCCACCCATTTCTGGAATGTGGGTCCCACGTGACTGGATCTTGTGAGTCTTTTCAAGAGGAGCCCAACATTTAGATTTTTATGTACTAGTACCCAATTTTTAAATGTTGGGAGATCATTCAAATATTCATAATGCTATGTGGACCCAACAAAACAAAGCCATGCCACAGTTTGCCTCTCCTGCTATGCACCTTCCTTCAGGAAAAATGTCCCCTTGCATATATAAATACAATTTGACATCATATTTCAGGCTTTTGTGGATCAGGGATCTCAGGTTTTTTTCTGTTCGTTTTTGTTTTTTTCAGACATATCACTTTGTCGTCCAGGCTGGAGTGCAGTGGCATGATCTCAGCTCACCACAACCTCTGCATCCTGGGTTCAAGTGATTCTTCTGTCTCAACCTCTCGAGTAGCTGGGATTACAGGCATGCACCGCAACACCTGGCTTTTTTTTTTTTTTTTTTTTTTTTGTATTTTTAGTAGAGACAAGGTTTCACCATGTTGGCCAGGCTGGTCAAACTCCTGACCTCAAGTGATCCACCTGCCTCGGCCTCCCAAAGTGCTAGGATTACAGGCGTGAGACACCATGTCCAGCCTGTAGTCAAGTTTTGATTCTTAGAAAACAATCTTGACTGGGGCTGGGTGCAGTGGCTCATGCCTGTAATCTCAACACTTTGGGAGGCCAAGGTGGGTGGATCATCTGAGGTCAGAAGTTTGAGACCAGCCTGGCCAACATGGTGAAACTTCATCTCTACTAAATACAAAGAAAGTAGCCAGGTGTGGTGGCACATGCCTGTAATCCCATCTATTCCAGAAGCTGAGGCAGGAGAATCACTTGAACCCAGGAGGTGGATATGGCAGTGAGCCGAGATCATGCCATTGCACTCCAGCCTGGGCAATAAGAGCAAAACTCCATCTCAAAAAAAAAAATATATATATATATATCTATATATATATATAGAGAGAGAGAGAGTCATATGTGGTCAGGTGGTTCTCATCTTGAATCTTGGACATGGTTTCCCTGGGACGTGTTCTGACCTTCCCTGTGAAAAACATCTACAAACATGGACTGCCATTCTTGCCTCTGCTGTATTTCCATCTTCCTACTCAGGGGCCACATGCTACTCCCAGGTCCCAGCATCTTCCCTTAAATCCCTGCTGGGATTTTCTTTTCTTTTCTTTTCTTTTTTGAGACAGAGTCTTGCTCTGTCACCTAGGCTGGAGTACAGTGGTGTGATCTCAGCTCACTGCAAGCTCCGCCTCCCAGGTTCACGCCATTCTCCTGCCTCAGCCTCCCAAGTAGCTGGGACTTCAGGTGCCCGCCACCACGCCTGACCAACTTTTTGTATTTTTTTTTTAGTAGAGACGGGGTTTCAC